ACCCACCCCATCTACCTATCTGCCCCCACACATCCTATCTATCTATCCCCATCCACCCCCTCTATCTATCTATCCCCATCCACCCCCTCTATCTATCTATCCCCATCCACCCCATCTATCTATCTATCCATCCCCATATACCCCATCCATCCATTCATCTATCCCCATCCACCCCATCTATCTACCTATCTACCTATCCCCATACACCCCATCTATCTATCTATCTATCTATCTATCTATCTATCTATCTATCTATCTATCCCCACACACCCCATCTATCTATCTATCACCATATACCCCATCCATCCATCCATCCATCCATCCATCTATCTATCCCCATACACCCCCTCTATCTAGGCAGAGACTAAGGAGAATTCTGTGTCTGCACATGGCTGAATCCCCGTGAAATGCCTGGAACAGGCACTGGTCTAATAAACGAAGCATGAAATAATAATCTGTATTGTCTGGATTATGGTAGAGCCCAAAGGCCCAGCTGTGCCGGGCGCTGCACGGACACAGTAAAACAGTGTAGTGAGGAACTGTGTTGTTATTTTCTACACGTGCCCTGCGCCGTTCACGAGGTGTCCGCCTGCACTGGGGCAGACCCAGGGAGCTGAGGTCTGCCTCCAGGACCCCCTCGGGCAGGGCCGGCTGGCTCCAGAGGGCACCCCTCACTCTCAGCGGCAGTTGGGGCCTGTTGCCTGCTGGGGGTTGGGGTTGTTCTTGTACCTGTCTGGGAAGGTCTCTTTTGGAGCCACCTCCCCGGGGGGTTCAGGGCAAGGGGCTGTTAACCCTCGGAACCCCCAGCAGCAGGATGTTACTGGGGCGCAGGGTAGCGGCGTTCTTCACTGGCTGGGCTTTGGGGGCGCAGGATCGGGGAGATCGCTCGATGACTCAGTTATTGGTCTGTGTGGACGGCGGGGGGAGAGGTGGCTGCTAACTGGGCCCTCCCTGTGCCCCCAGCTGCCCTGCTTCTGGGTGAGGAGCCCCTGGACCCCAAATGTTTCACGCGCTGCCTGGAGGACCTGACCTGCTTCTGGGAGAGCAGCAGCCCCCCGAGCGCCACGGAATACGGCTTCTTCTACGTCGTGGAGTGAGTCCCCCTCCCCCACCGGGGGCCCCTCTGCGGGGAGCTGAGGGGGGGAGGGGGCAGGTCTTGGAATGTCAATGACACCATGATGCCTCCCGTCCCCCCCATGCCCACCTCTGTGCCCCCAAGTCTCACCCCATAGCCTGCGCCCTTGCCCCCTCCCTCTGCACCCTCAGGCTGGGCCCCCCACGTCGGCCCCACCAAGCATGCCCCCTAGGCTGAGACCCCCTCCCCAGGCCTCCCCTCCCCCCGGGTTCTGCTGCTGCTGACCCCCCGCCCCCCTCTCTCCCCGACTCCGACAGGGGGGACGCCCCACAGCGCTGCAACGTGAGCGTGGCCCGGACGCCCTGGAACAGCACCCGCTTCAGCTGCGTCTTCCCGCCCCAGGACACCCCGTCCTTCACCCCCCTGCGCGTCGGCGCATACGCCGGCAACAGCAGCAACGTTATCCACGCCCGCACCATCATGATCAACCAAGTGGGTAGGTGTGAGAGCCGGGAGGGGAAAGGCCCCACGTCCCCCTGAGCCAGCCCGTCCTCCTGCCCCGGGGCAGAGCAGAGCCGGCGCCCCCCAGAGGGGAAAGGCCCCATGCCCCACTCACCACCCCGTGAGCCAGCTGGTCTCCTGCCCCAGGCTGGATTGGAGCCAGTGCCCTCTAGAGGGGAAAGGCCTCGAGCCCCATTCCCTGCCCCCCTGAGCCAGCCAGCCCCTGCCATGGGGCCAGATAGGAGCCAGCACCACCTAGAGGGGAAAGGCCCAATGACCCATTCCCTGCCCCCCCCAGCCAGTCCCTGCCATGGGGCCGGACAGGAGCCAGCGCCCCACAGAGGGGAAAGGCCCCCACCGCGGCCCCCCCGTCCCCCCGCTCCAACCTCCGCGCCCCACCGCGGCCCCCCGTCCCCCCGCTCCAAC